TCTCGCCCACCTTCCTCCCTCCCTCCCTCCCACCCTCCTTGCCGCCCCCGAGTTTCGCACAACAACCCGGCCCTCCTCTTCTTTTCCTCCGCTCGGCCTCCTTTTCCCTCCTCCATCAGCGCCACTTGCAAGCTCCTTCCGCTTCCTAGTTCTCGCGGTAGTGGTGTTGGCTCAGTCGCGCCGGCAACTTGCGACCGAGCGCACCAAAGGACGAACGATGTGACGACGACCCGGGAGTTGTTGTTGTTGAGGCCGAGGTCAGTTTGTTGTCGGCCAATTTATTTTTTCTTCTCTCTCTCTCTCTCTCTCTCTCTCTCTCATAAGAATAATTAGTAAGTACGTTTTCTTATAATGTAAGAGATTGAGAAAAAAGAATAGTTAATTTAAGCTTCTCATATGTGATAATTTCAAGTCCATAAGCTTACTTAAATGTAAACGTTTTAATGTTTGCTCATATGTTTTAAGACCTACAAAAAAATCCTAAATTCATACAAAAAAATGTACAACAAATTTTTGGGATGTAGTGTATGCAATATAGTTAAGAAAAAAGTTCCATACGCCACGTAAGAAGGCATACGTACGGTCAAATTATAGGTTGGCTAATCTATGACCGAAAATAAAAAAAAAAGTACATTAACCGCTTTATTAACATGTACATAACCTGGAGCACACTGAAATTTCTAAATATTAGAGACAAAATTTATGTTTAACACATGATTTTCTCACTTTTACAGAGTGCAGATTAATATATTTTGAAAGGAAGATTAACTGTCAATGTGTACTCAACAATCCATTAAAATATTTATGTTAATTACAGAGAAACTAAGTAAAAAGTAAAACTTATAAATAATAATGTTTGTAGTAAGAATATTTCAAGTACTTTGCTAAATTTTTTTTTGTATTAAATTGAATAATAAGATTTTATTTAATTTTATTATAAACCGTTCCGTCTTGTTAAACACAGATTAAATAAAGCTAATTTTTTTTAACCACCCAACGTAACTCATGTAAGAGGAATTCATTATAAATTTGTTATCATTATTGTATTTACTTATACAAGTAATGCTTTTCATTAAAAAAAAGTTCTTTATATTTAAGACCTTCTACCTCCCACCTCAAAGTATATGTAAATAATTATAATGCATTATTATGGGGTTAACACGCGAAGCACGCAGGGGGGTGGACCCCCACTCGTACATATACATATTTATAGGGCATTCTGCCTGAACTGAGATAATGTATTCATTATTTTTTTACACAATTTCAAAATGATAGACTTAAAATGTCGGCTAAAAACTACAAATTCTGATGTATTTTATGTTTTTTCGTATAAATCACAACAAACAATCGTTTTCGTCTCTGATTACAAACTTATTACTTTTATTATGAAATTTAAAAATGGTCAATACAAAATGGCGATTAGAATCAAAATCTTTTGTTTAATAATCACTAATTGGATAATGTTTATTTCAAGTTTTGTAATACAAATTTCACGTTGTTTTCTAAAAATTAAAATGTCAGATGCAATTTAAGGTAATATACACGCGGATTCCCCTTGGTTTAAATTACAAAGGCATCTTTTATATTTCAGAACTAAAATAGTAGATACAAATACTCACACACCTACATGTGTCTATATATAAATGTATACATAGGATGTTTTTTGTCAAACGGAAAAAAGATCTGTCCAAAATTCTATAGGTCGTAAGCAATGTATTATAGGCACAAACTGTAGCTTAGTTAGTAGGCTTTCTTTTGCGGTCTGGCTTTTTTCCACAATTCAAAATGTTGGACCAATATGGTGGCTGCAGTTAGTCACAATCACTCTGAGATAACAGTTTTACCTAATTTAAAATAGTTTTAGACCTTCATAAATTTAAATTAAAGCCTAATAATATATTTTTTTTTGCCGATCACAAATCTACGCTTATTTTTGATCGAGTACAGAACTCATACTTTCGAAACTCAAAAAACTTTGGAAAAATGTAGTAAAAAACTAGAAAAATCTATTTTTGTTAACAATTATTTAAAAAAACTTATTTCACCTTTATTGTCTAATTTTTCTGGACTACCGTATTGTTTTTTTTTTTTAGCAATGATAACAGCACTAAACTACTCAATTCCAGAAATGTCTGAAATAGAATTTATGTGATGCCTACAAAATCAAGGACTAACACATGTTATAAAAAGTAAGACATCTCTTTTTTTAATTTCGTAATTTTTTTAAAACAGTGAGGTTTATTATGAAAAAACGCATAAGAAGTATCTCCTACAATACAGTATGTATCGTAAAAAAATCATGTAGAGTAGGAAAACCTAGGTCGTATAAGGTATTTTAAGTCAAGTAAAACACAAAGAAATTATATAACTGTTTACTGTTTTTATAAGTAGTTTATACATGGAATATTTTATTTTCAGGGTGTGAAAACCTTAATCACATTCAGTTTATCTTTAAAATAGATAGGTACAAATAAATAAAACAGTTTAAAACCAAGTGAGTTCTATTATTTTCAACGAAAAAAAGTTTTTTATTTTGAAGAAAAATATTTTCGTCCATTTCCTGTAGTTTGTTGTATGATAACGAAAAGAGAACAAAGAATGACACATTTATAAAGTTCTTTTTTTCAAGCTTAAGATAATTTTTTTTAATATTTTTGTACACACAACATGATAAGGCATCTTTGATTGAGATGTAGTATTTTTTGTATTGAAAAAATTGTGTACTAATTTATTTAAAGCAAAGCAAAATAAAGCAAAATTTTTAATTTTTGGGGGCCACTTGTCTCCAATATTTTTAAATTGAATATACAAACAAATCATTCTTGATCACAGACTTGAAAAGCCCTTAGAAACTGATATTCGCAATGATATTTTTCGTTTGAAATGTTTCTTCTGTATTTTTCGATTTTTTAAGGTTATGGTTATGACTTTTAAGGAAAAATGGCAGTGACACACTCAAGCTTGTTACACAATATAAGAAATAAGTTTGAAATCAGTGACGAAAAAGATCGTTTGTAGTAATTGTAGTAACAGAGACCTTCAAAACCTCTGAGAGCTAATTTTCGCAGAAGTCTTTTTTTAAATATTTTTTTTCTGTATTTCTCGATTTTTTTAGGTTAGGGTTTGGAGTCTTGAGAAAAAAGTGGCAGTGACACACTGAAGCTTGACATCTAAGGAGTTTATAAAAAAAATGGGAGAATTACGTCGAAAATTGTGGTGTTGGCAAATTTTTGAACAAAAAAAGAGCTGTTTTCCCACTGAACGGCGGCTGCGCGGTGAACCGAATTTTTTGACTTTACAAACATAATTAACCACCGAAGCCGTTGAAAGTGCGTCTTTGTCTCTTCAACTCGTAGACTACGTCCATGTCAGTGACGGTCTTCCTCTTGGCGTGTTCGGTGTAGGTGACGGCCTCACGAATGACGTTCTCAAGGAATACCTTGGGAACACCACGGGTCTCTTCGTAGATCAGACCAGAGATGCGCTGGACTCCTCTACAGCGAGCCAGACGGCGGATGTCCAGCTTGGTAATACCCTGGATAATATCACAAAGGACCTTGCGATGGAGCTTGGCTCCTCCTTTTCCCAATCCCTTTCCTTCCTTACAACGGCCAGTCATCTTGGAAAAGTTAAAATAAATTAACTTGTGTTAACTGTCGGACCTGAAAAGGTTCTGCGAACCTCCACCGCCGCAAGCCATACTCCCTTTTCGCATCATAGCTCCGAAATTTGCGAGTGGCTTGCTGTGCCGCCACATCCACGGAAAATAGCCGGTTTTTGACATCGATTTTCGCGTACTTCCGGAATGTTGAATGGAACTACGTTTTGGTAGGTTATAGAATAACTCTAAACAAGTACAATACCATTTGAAAAATGGCACTATGTTGAAAAACCAGCCACGTCCAACTTTTTTTGCAAAAGGACCATTTTTTGTTTCATGCAGCGGTTTGCAAAAAGTTTACAATCGATCTTTTTGAAGTTTAGTGTGGATGTTAAGGGGCACAAGATCTACCATGTATTTAATTTTTAAGTCTTAATATTTAAATGAACGTGAGTTATAGTTAAAAAAAACGATCCAAAAGCATACTTTTTGGCAAACTGCAAGACAACGGCTGGACCAGTTTTATTCCCCTGAAGCTCATTTTCTTCGTCTTAAAATTGCACATCTTTTTTAACAGTACAACTTTTTTCCGATTCTCCAATTTTTTTCTAGACGCAATGAATTATTTTTGACCACATTTACAATTTTTTTGGGCCGTTAGCTGACGCAAGTTGGAGTATAAAACTATGAAGATTAGTTCAGAAATTGAATGACCACCACCATGATTTTTTTTGCGCTAGTAGCAATTTCCCAAAATTAATCATGCTTTTCTGCTAATTCTATTCAACTACACTGTTAGTTGATTAATTTGGTTTGATTATAAATAACATCAATAAATCAATAATTTATCAAATAAACTAACTTTTTTACTACTACGTTTTTTTTTAAACTTGGAAATGATTAGTTTACTTAGGCAGAGCAGCTTTCCTTCGTGTTAATAAATATTTTTCACCTTTGTCATTTATGAGCTCTACTACAAATAGATAATTGTTATAAAATTATCTCTCCCAAGATTTTAAAAATTGAAAAAAAAATTATGTGTTTTATAAAAACAATAATTGATTTTTGTTGCATCTCATTCCTCCAGAATTTTTCCTTTGGTATGAAGGTGATTTTGGACATAAAGACGGTTAACATACAGGTAGTGAAGGGATAAGTTTGAAGAGGGGAGAGGAGCGCAAAGATATGCAGCAACGCTGGCAAATCATTTTTCTCATATGGATTTACTTACATACTTGCTGTTACGCCTACTTAACCCATTCTCTCTTATGTTCTTATAAAAAAAACAACTTGTAAATGCAATTTTTAAGTGATTTTTATATAACGTTATGCGTTAAATTGCGATATTTTTTTATTAAACATATGAAACTAGGTATAGTTAAACTATCTGTAATTTTTTTGGGTACTTTTTATGCCTCTTTTTAAACTGACGTTTAATGTTTAAGCAATATCCATCTAAAAAGTCTGCATATGATGAACGTTCTGAAATTAGTAAGAGTGGTACAACAATTTGGTTTTTTTTATAGCTCTTAAGTACAATTATATTTTAAGTTTTCAACATGGACTAGGAATAAGTGTGTGAGCGCATGTGCAAGATGTGAGCGTGACGTTAGAGATGCAATCAGTGTAGGCCATAGATGGTTCTTTTTAAAACATCAAAAGACTCGATAAAACCGCACGGTCTTGTACTAGTCAGCCTACATATTGTTTATATTGTATTGTGCCATAATTTATAGTTTATAATTATTTATTTAGTAAATATTAAAATATTTCTGGAAACTGCAACCAATTAACATAGGTATACTCATCCCAACGATAATTGCACTACCTTCGTACACAGTATCGTTTTATAAATAATATATTTATATTTATAACAATATTGTCTGTCATAGAATTTAATAGAAGTATAACATTATACTTGGGTACCTAAGCACACTGGTCTCTTTTATGTCTGATACTAGCTAGCTACCAGTCTACTTTTGTGTGAATTGAGCGTAGAATGGTCATGGTCGTGTAGAAAGTATCGTTTTACGACTTAAGTTCATTTGTATTTTTACTAAGTTTCTGATATGCTACAGTCGACACTTTACTTCTTGACTGATGACTTTTTCTCTGGTGGCAATTCAAAGGTGGATTTTTAAGAGTAAGTAAGTATTTCTAGGATAATATAAGGTATGATTTGCATCAGTGCACTCTGCCTGAAATTGATTGTTAGCATTTGCAAAAATTATGTCAGTCTCATTAAATTTTGCTGGCAGTTGTCGAGGACATTCCCCACACACTTAAAATCGTCAAAATAGAAGACTAAGTAAAGACTCCTTTACGTTAAGAATTTTTATACTGGCCTTAGAAGTTTTGTGAAAATGTAAAGGGTTGATCTTGAACCTATACGATACGGACATCCGATACTGGTTGAACACGTATGCAGCCTGTATCAGCCTGCAAGCAGTTAAATTTAAAAAGCTGATGAAACCGAAACATTTTTCATAAGAAAACCAGTAATTCTCTGCGGGGTGCGTAAGTGGGGACCAAAAAGTATGCATATTGTAGGTCAAACTTGCCCATATATCCACTGGTTGGGCAAGAAGAGTTTGCGTTCTGCCTTGTGATCTTCTAGTTTGAAGTAGTTTCTGGCGATCAATTTATTAAGTCTGGCAAGATTTAGGATAAATATGTACAAGTCATCGTGTTTATAGTGTAAAAAGTACGGGGACATAAATGGCCCTGACCAGCTTTCATTTGCTAATCTTAGTTTCCAAAATAAGTTTGTATTTTCCAGCATTAAATTAAAACTGCTCCAAGTCACTATTAAAACTAAACAACAGCTGGTGTGACGAAAAAGGCAATTCAGAAAAATTAGACTTGTAGCCAGACGTATACCCGCGAGAACACCTGTCCAAAAATAATTTAGCCCATTTTTTTGCGAAGTACTCAATTATGCTTCTTACTCCACCTACATTCATTGATTGGTGTGGGGTAGTTTCTCTTACAACGTCTTGCAAGTACCTTTACCAGCCTTCTTCCTCAAGTGAGATTGCTGCTGGTTATACTTAAATTGCTGGGGGGCTGTATGGGCTCCTGAGTAACTTGCTTACTCCATAGATAAACCAGATTCCTGCAGGCTCAGGGAGTTTAAAGACCTTTTCCTAGAAAAAGAGTCTCTATTCGCTCATGTCTTCGATGCTAAAAAGCTTTGAGCAGGCCTGTGACTCCTTCATCTGTTAGACTAAGTAATTCTCAAACAGGAGCTTAGTTGATCTGCTGCCACTCAGGGCTAGTTTTAGGCATGGCAAAGATAATAGCTCTGGCTCAAATCTGATACAGGTTGCGTACTTGCTTAGCCAGTATTGGATGCCCGCATCGTATAGATTTTAAGACATCCAATTCTTGTCCAGTTTGCCATCTTTGAGGAGAATTTTCAGTGCTTTGACTATGCCACTGATAGCTAAACGAGCAAGCTGCTGTTAATAGGCTTGGAACGTATCCTAATATCGCACTTCTGCTCTGGAACTCTGTGAGGCTGGCCAGGTTTTTCCGAAGCTCAACAGGTACGTGGTTTTCACAAACTTTGTTAGTACGTGTTTTCAGTGTTTTAGAGCCTGTACGTGTAGTTTGACCTCTAAACTCTTGGAGCCTCTGGGTTATACCGCCAAAGACTGCAGAAAGAAAAATCAAAAGATTTCTTCGTTAGAGGACTCATCTCCATGTTTTTTTTCTTTGTGGTGAAGTTTAGTTTCACTGAGCAAAAAAAGAAAAATTCTACTATATAGATGGCTAAGAAGATTAGGATGTAGAGGTTAGCTTATACTATGGAGTAACAGGTACCTCGTTATGCATATGTAGAAATAGGTGCATCCTATCTATACCTTATGTGTTACTCCCAACATTTTGACACATGTACGAGTACACATTCATAGACATTCACATCTTAACTATTTTGCTGTTTATGATATTCATGAGAAGGAAAAAACCCTGTTACTATTCATTCGTTAAAACAAGAGTAGGCATGCAACAAGAGAAAAAAAACTGATCAGTGATCTTACCTTAGGCATGGAGATATTAAATAAAGAGAAAGATATTTTCTCGTGCACCTACCTTCAAATTGTATTTATTTGTGCAAAATATTTAGCTTTTTAATTAAAAAGATTCATTGCTGTTTGCGCCAGAGTTTCTGGTCATCTCTGCAAAACGATTCTGCAGTCACTGGACAATATTACGTAACCTTTTAGTCTTCGTAATAAACAGTGATTTTTCGTGAACTTTCTTTCGCACACAAGATGGAAGAATGATGCAAGTGAGGCGTCCGTGCACCTACCATGAGGATTTGCTTTAAGCTCTTACATATTTTGGCATCTAGTGAGGGAGAAAAGGCTTACAGTATGTTATATCACGAAAGAGACGATTGGCATCTTTACCAATCAAAGCTCAGCAACTTGCTAGCTAAATGATATACAGGATGATATGTATTGGTGGCATTTTCCGGGATCAGTGTGTAGAGCAATTTTTCCTGAAGCGAACCCCGTTAGAATTAATTTTTAGGGCAATTAGCTTTTAAATGGGAGGCGATTGATAAAACGTTTCAAACTACCCTAAATGTGGTTGGAAAGGTATAGCACGTCCGCATGAACTCGCGACGTTGCCACATTGTCATTGAGCTTATTTGGTAGGCAGTGAGAGCTGTATACGTGGGTTTATCCATGTGCGCACGCACGAGCGTCTGCTATACTATACTGCTGATACATTGAAGGTTGGATGTTACAAAATAAATATTGTCTGTTCCTTATGCTGTCATGTCTTTAAGCCATGCCTCAGATGTAATGGCATGAATATTTCAAGAATAACATGTCAAATCATAAAACAGTAAGAGTACATAGGATAAACGTGGCACCAACTAATAATCATAACAGTTGATAATATTACATTGCAAAAATTATAACAATAATATTTAAAATGTGATAACTTTAATTAAGTATGAGTATCTCTTTTTAAATAAATAAACTCATATCTTATACATTTTATCA